ACCCTGCCTCTCTGGTGCATTTCAGGGTCAGTCACGGACACATTCTACTCCCCTCTGGGTAGCACGCTTGTCAGTAGCTGGGGCTCAATATCGTTTCCGGTTTTCTTTTGCTGTAAAAGTTATACACACCGAAACATACGCATCTTAAAAGTACATTAGCTAAATTTTAACAGCTGTGTACACTTGTGCGTCCCGAAGCCCCGCCAAGAAACAGACCATTGTCATCACTCAGAAGGTCCCTCGTGCCTCCTAGGATGCCGCCTCCTTCCCCAAGGCAGCCGCTGTTCTGATGGTTGGCACTCTAGACGGCCCATCGGGATTGGTTTCTGTTCGAGAACTTCACACACATGGATTCAGGCAGTACATACTCCTTTTTTTTTTTTTTTAAAGATTTTATTTATTTATTCGAGAGGGCGAGTGCGAGCAGGGCAGGAGAGGGAGAAGCAGAAGCAGACTCCCCTGCTGAGCAAGGAGCCTGATGCGGGCTTGATCCCAGAACCCCGAGATCATGACCTGAGTCAGAGGCAGATCCTTACTCCCCTGAGCCACCCCGGCGCCCCCAGGCTGGGCATATTCTTTTGTTCAGGGACCCTTTACTCATCCATGATGTCTAATGGCAGTCTACCGTACGTCTACGCCACGGCCTGTTGCTGGGCATCGGGTGCTCTTGGGTCTTGTATTTCCGCAGAAAGCCGTGAGCGTTTGAGAACAGGTCATTGCATGGACACATGTGGCCATTTCTTTTGGGTAAATACCTAATAACTGAGTTGCCATTTATGTGATAGCCATGTATCAAACTTCGTAAGACATAGCCAAACCGCTCCCTGGGGAACTGTGCGCAGCTCTGCCGGTTACTGAGCGAGTGGCCGTCACAGCTCCGGTTGTCTCGGATTTGTTTCTCCTCGTGGTTCTGTGTGTTTGGGCTTCATGTGTTTTGTTGTTAAGTACCTACACATTCTAGGATCATTATGTCTCATTGAAATGAGTCTCTTTCATCGTGAAATGACCGTCTTTATTTGTGGTAATGTTTCTCGTTTTGAGTTCTACTCGGCCTGACGTTAATAGAGCTATACCGCCTCGCTTGCTTTTATTTTCCTCGTGATGGTTGTGGGACTCTCCTTATTGTCTGGATGGACAGCAGACAGTGGGGTTGTCCTGTCTGTGCCTGCGTTCAATCTGTTTCTGTGTGTCATGTGTATGTATGTGTGTGTGTAGGAAATCTGGCCTCACACAGCCATGTAGCTGGAAAAGGGAGCAGTGTTTTCAGTCTTTTCAGAGAATGGTGGATTGTCTTTTTTTTTTTTTTAATTTTTCATCCTTTTTAAATTTTTAATTTTTTTCATCCTTTCTTTTATTTTTATTTTTTTATTTTTAAAAAGATTTTATTTATTTATTTGACAGAGATCACAAGTATGCAGAGAGGCAGACAGAGAGAGAGAAGGGGAAGCAGGCTCCCTGCTGAGCAGAGAGCCCGATGCGGGGCTCGATCCCAGGACCCCGGGATCATGACCTGAGCCTAAGGCAGAGGCTTAACCCACTGAGCCATCCAGGCGCCCCCATCCTTTTTTTTTTTTTTTAAATCATTGCTGTATTTGTTTAATTTGTGTTTGAGTGGGCTCCACACCCAGCGTGGGGCTTGAACTCACAATCCCGGGATCAGGAGTCGCGTGCTTTACCAGCTGAGCCAGCCGGTGCCCCAGTGGTGAGTTCTTCTTTTTTTAAAAAGACTTTCTTTATTTGAGAGAGAGAGAGTGAGTGAGCGCCAGTCCGGGAGGGACAGAGGGAGAGGGACAAACAGGCGTCCCGCTGAAGCTCAGCGTGACCCGGGGCTCGATCCCAGGACCCTGACATCATGACCTGAGCCGAAGCCAAGTACTGGAGGCTCAGCTGATGAAGCCCCCCAGGCACCCCTCGTTATACCTTTTTCATCTAGTCTGACGCCTGGGACCTTTCGGTTCTGCTTCGCAGCGAGCGTAACTATTGATACAGGTTTGTGTTTGCGGCCACGCCCCCGTTTGCTTTCTGTTTCTCTTGGGCTCTGTTCCTCCCTCATCGGTCTGCTCTTGGGTCGAGCGCTTGTCGAGTGCTTGTACGGTTCGTGGTGCTGCTAGCCGCCGCTTGTCGCAGACAGCCGTGAGCCCCTGCCTGGCTTTCTCGTGGGCCGCAGGAGCCGGTTGGCAGGAGCGCTGCGCTGACGCCGCCGCCTGTCTTTGCAGAGCTCTTGGCAGTCCTGCACGTGTAGTGAAGCCAACAGTATTAGTTTTGCTGTAGACAATTGAATTTTTAAGTTTTTATATAGAAACAATGTTAAGTTTACAAAGAAGTTGCATAAAGAGTACACAGGGTACTCAGAGACCTTTCACCCAGATTCCCAAGTATTAACATTTCTAACCCATTTAAGAAGCAATTGCTTGGGACACTTGGGTGGCTCAGTCGGTTAAGTGTCTGCATTCAGCCCGGGTCATGATCTCAGGGTCCTGGGATCGAGCCCCATGTCGGGCTCTCTGCTCAGCAGGGAGCCCGCTTCTCCCTCTCCCTCCCCCTGCTTGTGCTCTCTCTCTCTCTCAAATAAACAAATAAAGAAGTAAAAATCTTAAAAAAAAAAAAAAAGCAATTGCAGACATGATGTTCCATGACCCTTCTTCCTTCAGTGTGTGCTTTCTTTTTTTTAATTAAAAGATTTTATTTATTAGAGAGAGAGAGACTGTGCACAAGCAGGGGGAGCATCAGAGGGAGAGAGAAGCAGGTTTCCCACTGAGCAGGGAGCCCGATGCAGGGCTTGATCCTGGGACCCTGCGATCATGACCTGAGCTGAAGGCAGATGCTTAACTGACTGAGCCACCCAGGCGCCCCCAGCATGTGTTTTCTTGATACAAGGACCACCGTCCTCAGACCATTCAGTCAGGAAATTCACATCAATCCTGTATTGCCACCTGATTCACAAACTGCACCCAGACTTGTTGATCAAGGTCTGTTTGCTCCATTCCTGGTGAAGCTGACTCACCACTTGCCATGTTTCCGCATTTTTCTTTTTTTTTTTTAAGATTTTATTTATTTATTGGACAGAGAGAGATCACAAGTAGGCAGAGAGGCAGGCAGAGAGAGAGAGAGAGAGGAGGAAGCAGGCTCCCCACCAAGGAAAGAGCCTGATGTGGGGCTCGATCCCAGGACCCTGGGATCATGACCTGAGCCGAAGGATCATGACCTGAGCCGAAGGCAGAGGCTTAACCCACTGAGCCACCCAAGTGCCCCAAAGATTATTTTATTTTTAAAAAACATTTTATGGGGCGCCTGGGTGGCTCAGTGGGTTAAGCCTCTGCCTTCGGCTCAGGTCATGATCTCAGGGTCCTGGGATCGAGCCCCGCATTGGGATCGAGCCCCGCATCGGGCTCTCTGCTCATCGGGGAGCCTGCTTCCCCCCTCTCTTCTCTGCCTGCCTCTCTGCCTACTTGTGAGCTCCCTCTCTCTGTCAAATAAATAAAATATTAAAAAAAAAAACAAAACCATTTTATTTATTTGTCAGAGAGAGTGCACAAGGAGTGGGGGTGGTGTGTGGCAGGCAGAGCGAGAAGCAGGCTCCCCACTGAACGAGGAGTCCAATGTGGGACTTGATCTTAGGACCCTGGGAAGCCCAGGAGGCCAGTTGCTGGAATTCAGACCACTGTGTCTAGTGATGGCCCGGGAAGCCATACAGCACCCCGGCACAATCCACGAGCCGGATGTGCCGGCACTCGGTTGATGCCCACTTTTGTTCCCTCTTCCAACTCAGGGCCAACCAGAGAAAACCGAACACAAGGGATGCCCAATGTCTGCTTAGCCCAGCTCCAGCTCCTTCAGCCCCATAGACCCCAGCAGGGCACCCCTGAATCCCCCTTTTTCCGCCATGAAGCTCTCTCCCCCACTGCCTGCCTTTGGGCCTCGGCCAGTCCAAGGGATGCACTGTCTCCATTAGAGCAGCCTCTGCACAAATAGCCTTTGCTTATTCTCATTTGGTTGGTGCTCATTATTTCCCCGATAGTATGGGGGTACAGAGAGTTTCTAGGCTGGCGAGCACGTGGAGGTGCTGGTTGAGCAGTACACCTTGAAGGGCCCGGAAGCTCCATGTGCCCTTCCCTACACCTTGCCCTTGGCATCTCTTCCATCTGGATGTTTCCCTGGACCCTTTATCATGTCCTTTTAGGATGACTGGTGATCAGTGAGTAGACGCTTCTCCTGAGTTCTGTGAGCCACTCTAGCAGGCTCATTGAACCCGAGGGAGGATCGTGGGAACCCCGATTCATAGCCAGTTAGTCAGAAGCACAGGTAACAACTTGGACTTGCTGTTGGCATCTGAAGTGCGTGTGTGGGTTCTTGTGGGACCGAGCCCTCAACCTGGGGTATCTGATGCCATATCTGGGTAGATGGTGCCAGAGTGAGTTCAAGTGTGGGACACCCAGCTGATGTCACAGAATTGCTTGGTGTGGGGAAAGCCCGCACACATCTGCTGTTGGAAGTGCTGAGGGCAGGGCGCCTGGGTGGCTCAGTCGTTTAAGCCTCTGTCTTTGGCTCAGGTCATTATCTCGGGGTTCTGAGATTGAGTCCTGCATCGGGCTCCTTGCTCTGCAGGAAGCCTGCTTCTCCCTCTCCCTGCTACTCCCCCTGTTGTGCGCTCTCCCTCTGTCAAATGAATAAGTAAGAATCCGCCCCCCCCCCAAAAAAAAGAAGTGTTGAGGACACTTCTTTTGAGTTGAGACGGAGGAGGAGAGTGGGTTTTTCCCAAAACACATGCTAAGGGGAGTAGTGTTCTTGGCGCATCACCACCTGAGTGGGAGACGGGCATGGTCAGGCCTCCGTGCAGCGGTGGGAGACTAGGTATCAGACGCACTGCCCCATTTGCGTGTGAACGAGCATAGAAGGTAGAGTGGAAGGTTTCACCTGCCACCGCTTTATGTGCCAAAGGGGCTGGAATGCCTTTGGGGCTGCTTGAGACTATCAAATAGGGTCCAATCAGGAGACAGAAACAGGGTACAGGAAAGGTTTAATGTAAAGAATCGTTAAGTATCATAGGGGATGAGGGTCACAAGGGATTGCCTAGTAAAAGGAAAGAAAATCCTGAAGATACAAGAAGCAGCTGCCACTCTGAAGGCTGAGAGAACGCTCCCAGGGAGGAAACCCCGTCACCCCCAGGGCTGAGATCCAGCTTCGTGGGAGAGAGCCTAGCCAGTTAACGGAGCCCGCCGAAGGTGGAGAAGCGCCGGCAGGACTTGCTGGGCGTCCCTCTAGAGTGCAGGGAAAGCTGCTCAGGGCGCGCGGCCTTGTGGACGTGAGGCAGGCGCTCGCTGCAGCTGGAAGGAGCTGGGCTCGGTGCGGGGAGGCGGGCGCCGAGGAGGCCTCGGACTCTGCAGGTGCCCGCCCAGGACCTCCCGGAGCCAGGCCGCAAAGCCCTTTCCTGCCGCGCCACCTCCCAGCGGCTCCGTTGGCTCAGCGCTGCGGGTGAGCGCTCCCAGGGCTGGGCTCCGTCCGGCGGAGCAGGAGCGAGTGCGCCCGAAGCCGGAGGTCACACGCTGCGCCCCGGCACAGGACCAGCGCTGCGCTGGAGAACGGAAGTCGAGACGAGGACCGGTCCGCCGTCCAGCTGCCCGCAGGCTCTTACCGGCAGCGCGGCTGGTGGCGACACCGTGGCCGCGGCCGCGGCCTCCTGCCTGCAGCTGGCAGGCAGCCCCGCGGCCCGCCCGGACTCCGCTGTGAAGGGGCGGTTGTCCCAGTAGCTGCTGAGGGGCCACGTGTGTTCGGACAGAGCCCAGGCGTCGTTGTGCCCGCACCTCCGCCGTCCTCGGAGTCGGAGTGACGCGCGCTGGCGCGGGGAGGTCTCAGAAGGGGCTTCACAGGGGCCTACGAACCGCCCGGCAAACCGAGAGACAGAAAGGTGGGGGCTTCGCCCCGCAGGCCCCGCCCCGCCTGCTGGCCACGCCCAACGCCCCGTCTTCCCGTTGGCCACGCCCCCTCCCCTGCCAGTCCTCCCCGTCCTGCGGGCCCCGTCCCTCCCCGTCCGGCCCTCTTCTTCCCACCGGCCCCGCCCCATCTCGTAGGCTCCGCCTCCTTCCTGCCAGCCCCGCCCCCTTCCTCATCCGGTCCCCCCTTTCCTGCCGGCCTAGCCCCTTCCCCACAGATCCCCCCTCACCTTCCCGCCAGCCCCGCCCTCGCCTACCCACCGGCCCCGCCCCTTCCCGATAGCCCCCTTCTTCCCACCAGCGCTGCCTCTTCTCCTTTCCTGTCCTCCACCTTGCTGCCGGCCCCGCCGCCCTGCCTCCCTGCTAGCCCCGCCCCCCAGCCCTCCCCTCCCCACCAGCCAAGCCCTCACCTTACCCATAGCCCTTCCCGCGAATCCCGCCCCTCCCACTGGCCCCTCCCCCACCGGCCACGCCCCTCACCTTCTGGCTAGCCCCTCCCTCCATTCCCTGTCGGCCTGTGCGTGGCCTTCCCGAGCGCGAGGCAGGCCGGGAAGTCGGCTGCCCTAAAGATGGCGGCAGAATTGAAAAGTTGGAGCCGCTCCTGCGGCCTTGAGGGGCCGGAGATGGATCCGGGGCGGGGCAGGCGCGCTCTCGTCCTCTCTGAAGGGCGTGGGGCGGGATTGGGGCGCGGCAGGCGCGATCTAGCGGCCGTGAGGGGCGGGTCAGGCGGGCGCGTTCCCGGCGGCCCTGAGGCGTGGGGGCGGGGCGCGGGGCGGGGCGCGGGGCGGGGCCACGCCTCGGCCCGGAAGTGCGGGGTGTGGGGTGCAGGGCGCGGACGTCCCCTGGCGGCCGCGGCCGGAGAGTGCGGCCGCGCGGGCGGGAGGCGCAGGAGTGGCTGCGGCGGCGGCGGCGGCGGCGGCGGCGGCCGCGGGGCCGGGCGAGCATGTAGCGGCCACGGGCGGCGCGGGGCTCCCGGGGCGGGCCGGGCCGCAGGGGCCGCTCGCGGCGACATGGAGGAGGAGGGCAAGAAGGGCAAGAAGGTGAGCGTGCGCGGGCGGGCGCTCCCGAGCCGGGCGGGGGGCGGGCTGGACCCGGAGCGGGGCGGCGGGGCGGGCGCCGGGGGTGGACTGGGAGGTCCCTCGGGGCCGCGCTGACGGCCAGCCGGCGCGGGGCGCTGGGCGGTCCCACGGGGGGAGGTTAGATGTGAGGTCAGGCGTGGGGCGGTCGGGGGCGCACACTCTCGGGGCGAGAGGGCGGCCGGCAGGCCGGGGTTCCCCGGGTGCGCCGCGCGCTCGGGCCCGGCGCTGGGCCGCGGGCGTCGTGCTCCGCGGATGGGCCGGGAGACGAGCCCCCGGACAATGGGGTTAGGTGGTCCTTCGGCCTGGCCGCGCGGCGGGGGAGGAAGGAGCCACGCCTTTCCGCCCCTTCCGGTCAGTGGGTCCCCCAACCCCGGCTCTGCACATGGCCGGGCCGGCGGCGCAGGGCGCAGGGGCTGCGGAGGGGCCGGCCCGCCGCGGCGCCGGAAAGTTTCCAGGGCCGGTGTCTGGGAGACAATGGGGAGTCCGCCCCGCGCAGAGCGGGGCCGCTTGGTGCCTCTGGTTTCGTGGTGCCGCGCACACGCGCACGGTGCGCCTCCGGGCCACCGCGCTCGGCCCTGCTCGCCCCGCCGCTCCGGCACGCTCCGTCGGCGGCTGCATTTCAGACATAGTTCAGGGGACTCCTCGGTTTCTGTGGCCTTCCAAGATGTGGCCTTCCTTACTGGCCGGAGTGGCTGATAACGTCACTCTCGTTTCGGGAGACTGTCATAGCTTGGCTGCCACTGAAGTGCAGAACGGTTTCAGCGCAATTTCTCTTTCGGGTAGAGGACTTACAACGCGCTGGGTTTCGTTAGTGTGCGCTTCTGTGTGCCGATCTCAGACAGGCTTGGGTAGGTCCTCTGGTGCACAGCCTGTGCTGGCCCGAGCCAGCTGTGCCCTCAGCCGACTCATCCCCTTGTTTCCCAAGGTGTCCCACTCTTTAAAGGTTGTGCTTGAAATCCGTGTGGCCCCTGGTGGCCCTCCGCGGATCGGGTGGTGCTTTTCCCTCACTTTCTTTTCTCCTTGTTGTGTTATGTCGGCAACGTGTTGTGTTATGTCTAATTAAAGTGTGGTACCAGCTGCAGATACCGAAGTCTGGAAAAGAGCCCGAGAAAGTGATTCAGCCTGCAGGCGCTAGACAGCGAGAGATGCTGCCCACCCTGAAGGGGAGAGCTGGGTTTAATGTTTCTGCCACAGCCGGTAGAAGGCTCCAGAAGAAAGTCAGTCCACGGTCTCCTTCCCTGCTGCAGGCAGGTGGGCCAGGACCCGCACAGGAGATGGCCCGTCCCCAGTGCTCTTGGCTGCCAGCGTTGCTCCCGGCCCAGGGGGTCACCAGTCTTGGCCTCAAAGCATCTTCCACACTCACACCAGACGGGGCTGGCTGAGCAGGGTCCCTCCCTTCCGATGGATGCTAACCTGGTTCTGTGACGAGAAGCATGGGATAGACTGACGGACTTCAGAGCCCTCTGTGAGGTTTGGTAGAAACATTAGAATATTCAGCAACGTTGGGAGAGACGAAGAATCAGTGGGACATTCCTGAAATAGAAGTGAGAAGCCAGTGAAACTCAAGAATTTTTGAGGTGGGGGCCGTGTGAAGATTTAGGCCTAGAGAAGGTTAATGATGAATGTCATTGTGTCTGTTAGAGAAGATAATCACTTGTTACAGGGTTGCCTAACACAGGAGTTCTCTGTTTCCTCCGTATGCCCCTGCCCTAGCTCATTTTCCCATAGGCAGGCCAGCAGACGGCTCTGGGGCGGGAATTCCTATCCAGGCCACAATTTAGCACACTTTCCCTCTTGCTCTTTGCCAGTCTCAAGCAGTCAGAGCCTTTCTGCTCTGCTCCTCCATTCAGTGTGAGGTCACCGCCAGCTCATGACACTTGGTGCTTATATTAACCAGATTGATCTATTTTAAAAGTTTTACCCAAATTCAAGCTAAAATAGCAGAAGTGATGACCTAATAGCTTTATGAAAGTGCAGTTTGGGGGCACCTGGGGGACTCAGTGGGTTAAGCGTCTGCCTTGGACTCAAGTCATGATCCCGGGGTCCTGGGATGGAGCCCTGTATTGAACTCCCTGCTCAATGGGGAGCCTGCTTCTCCCTCTGCAATCTGCACAGGGATCTGTGACCTGCACACCCCCTTCCCCCCACTTGTGCATGCTCTCTCTGTCAAATAACATTTTAGAAAGAAAGTACAGTTTGCTATTTTGTTTTTAAAGACTATTTATTTATTTATTTGACAGAGATCACAAGTAGGCAGAGAGGCAGGCAGAGGGAGAGGGAGAAGCAGGCTTCCCGCTGAGCGGGGAGCCCGATGTGGGACTCATCCCGGGACCCGGACCCATGACCTGAGCCGAAGGCAGCAGCCTCTTAACCAATTGAGCCACCCAGGTGCCCAGAAAGTACAGTTTAGACATTTAAATTTCTCTTCAGGTTAGCTCTCTCAACATTGCAGTTTTAACCTTTATTTTTAATTTCTATTTTAATTTTTTTTAAAATAAGCTCTCGGCGCATCATAGGGCTTGAACTCATGACCCCGACATCCAGAGTCGCATGCTGTACTGAGCCAGCAAGCCAGGCACCCGAGATTTAACCTTTAAAGCTGTGGATGGTTAGGCCTCTTGAGGCCTTCAGACACTCGTGCTCGGGCTTTCTCGGGTAGTTGTTCAGGTGTGTTGTAATGTGGCCTGTTACTTCCCCAGCACCGGAGGCAGTGAGCTGTAGAGCTCACCAGAGAGTAAGTAGAACAGGGTGGGTTTCATATCAAGTGGCCCCAGGCACAGCTCCGTCCTTTCCTTCTTTCTTTCTTAAGCAGCGCGGGAGGAGAGGGAGAGGGAATCCTAAGTGGACCCCATGCCCAGCACAGAGCCTGACACGGGGCTCGATCTCGCCATCCTGAGATCATGAAATGGGCCGAAATCAGGGGTAGGCTGCTGAGCCGACTGAGCCACTCAGGTGCCCCCAGCCCTGTCCTTTCTTAGGCTACCCTGGCACATAGGATGAGGGTGACTGGAGCCCCTGTAATGTCCCATGGAAAGTTCTGGGTGATGGGGTAGTGGGAGGAGCCGGTCCTGGTACATCTGGGGGATGCATGTGTGTGCACCAGCAAGTCCACTGCCTGCTAGAGGCGTGGGGCCTGCGGAGTAGGAGTGACCACGGGGGGCCACTCTCCCCGCCACATGTCTCCAGAGTGACTGCTGTCTCTCAGACCACAAGTCCTGATTTGGGGTTTGGAGAATAATGTTACCACCTTATAAAATGGACCCAAGTTCCACGAGTTCTGACCCTGTTCTGTCAGGATGTAATTCTTTTTTGTGAGAAGCTTAGGTGTTCGCGTGAGTTGGGCCGTATGCTTGATCGGACGAGGACCCCAGGCCGTGGGAGGTCACCACCAGGCCCCTGTGCTGTTCGGGGCCCAGCTTCTGCTGCTCCTGGTCACTCCTCCGGCGGCCGGGCTTTCGTCCTGAATGGTTAAATATTTTTACGTTGGGTGACTTTATTGTGCTCTCTGTAAATGTAAATAAAGGCTATAAGGTACTCTGGAAATGTAGGATGGGGTGTTAAGTAGTAGCAGGGAGTTATTACTAATTTTGTGGCATAGAATGTCTGTATTACGTGTGGCTGAGTTCTGAGCTGGTAGACCTCCACGCTGAGCTGTTTATAGGTAAAACGGTGGGACGCCTGAGACTGGCTTTATCCAGACAAGAAACAAAACAGAGGGGAGATAGTGGAATGCGCTGGTTGTGGGTCTTCCTCATCCATTATTCTGTTCACTTGTGTGAGTTTTTGAGTTTTCATATAAAAAGTGGGGAGAAAACAGCCCCCCAAGTTACAGGCCCTCGGCCGTCCGCTCCGGTAGCTGCTGGACCTTCCATCAGGCAGTGTCTGTGAGGAACTGGGGGCTTGGCTGGATCAGGGTCTTTACACCTTTGTCTTCAGATGTCAGACAGCCTTCTCCACAGGTGCGCGCACACGCACGCATAGCTGAAATGAGAATTTAAGGAAATGGTACTTCATATAAGCAATGCACTGTGAGTTTTTTACTCTCTTCTTCTCTCCCATTAAACAATGGCCAGGGGGCGCCTGGGTGGCTCAGTGGGTTAAGCCTCTGCCTTTGGCTCAGGTCATGGTCTCAGGGTCCTGGGGTCCAGTCCCCGCATCGGGCTCTCTGCTCAGCAGGGAGCCTGCTTCCCCCCCCCAACCCCCGCCTGCCTCTCTGCCTACTTGTGATCTCTGTCTGTTAAATAAATAAAATTAAAAAAAAAAAAACACAAAAAAGCAATGGTCAGTCACGACATGTCGCAGTTGTAACACGGGGTAACACAGGGACTTTGGGGTCTGTGCCTTGTTTTGTCTTGCCTCTTGGTCAGTTTCATAGGGATTCTTGGGTGACCATGTAGTGCCACCGAGCTGGGAGGTGCCGGGCAGGGACCGTAGGCCCAGCAGCCAGCGGACGATCCCAGGGAGGCCAGCAGTCGCGAGGCTCATTCCTCTCTGATTTGGAGAGTCGCTGCTTCCATGGTACCTGTATTTATTAGTTTCCAATGTGAGGAACTGTAGAGTCCCTGCCGCCTCCAGACCCCATGACCCGC